CCCCCCCCGGCACAGCCCCCCTTCCCCTCCCGGTGCCACACTGGGGACATTGCTGGGGGGGCTCCCAGGGGAGAATTTGGGGCAGAGACCCCCCCCAGCACCCTCCCGGGGGGGTCAGAAATCCCGGCAGGAACCGGCTCCCGGTGCTGCACCCAGGCCTTGTGTGGCATCGGTGATGGGGACAGCGCAGGGACACCCTGGGGGTGCCCGCACACACATCCTGGCCGGGGTCTCCCAGGGCAGCAGCTCCTCGGCTCATCCCGCTCCTCTTCCAACCCCGTGTCTTTGCCAAATCCTCGCCACCATCGTGCCAACCCCCCTGTCACCATCGTGCCAACCTCCCCTGTCACCATCCAGCCGTGGAGGAGCCCAAAATAGCCCCGGGCTCACCTGGAGGGGGGCGGGGGGCCGGGGCTGCCGCCTGCCCTCATCCCACTGCTCCATATTAATGAGCCCCTTCCTCCTCCTCCTCCTCCTCCTCCTCCCCCCGTCCCTCCCGGTGTCCGGCGGTGCCGAACCCGAGCTCAGCGACACGAGCCCACCCGCGCTCGGCTCCGGCCGCCCTCGCCATGGCCGGGGGTCCCTCGGTGTTCCAGCTCTGGCTCGTGCTCCAAACCTGCTGTCTCTGCCTGGCCCAGCTCGTAAGTCCCGTCTGTGCTCGATCCCGCTCCGCTCCGGGCTGGGATGGGGCTGGAGAAGGGATGGAGAGGGGCTGGATGGAGAGGGGACGGTCGCCGTCTCCCCCGTCGCGGTGCTGAGCGCCCCCGCGACTTTTAGCTTCTTTTCCCAGCACCTTTCCCTTGCTTTTCCCAGGAATGGGGGGTTTGGGAACAGCCCCCAGCCGGGATCCACCGCCCCGACCCCAAGAAGAGGGGGCTTGGAAATCTGGGACTTGTTGGCTGAACAAACTCAGTTTTATTTTCCCTCTCCGCCCTTTCCCTCCCCAGCAGCCGCCGGGATCTGCTTCCCATCACCTGGGAACATTTCCTTCTCCTTTCCCGGGATGTGCTGCGGCTCCGGACTGAAGGGGCTGAGGGGGGTCAGACCCTCCCAGGGCTGCCCCGGGGGGGGGGACACCAGCAGCGGGGGTCCTGGGGGTCCCAGTGGACTCTCCGAAGTCACCCAGGGACAGGAAAAAATGGATCGGGAAGAAGGGAAGGTGCCCCCCCGCTCCTCGGGATGAGCAGTGCAGAGGAAGAGGCAGAGTTCCTCCTGGGAGCCCACCTGGGAAAACTCTCCCTGACTCGCAGGGGATGGGGGTAAAATCTGGTTAAAAAACAGATTTTTAGAAAATATTTTGGAAAATATTTCCATGCGGCTCCTGTCGGCACAGTTTGGGGGGCAGCTCCCTCCTAGAACAGCCCCCCCGGGATGCCCGTGGGCTCGTGGTGCCAGGGTCTGGCCAGGGGAGCGGGCTCGGGGATGTGGGAGCTGCGGGAGCTGCGGGAACAAGGAACCATTTGGAAATCACTCGGGCAGGACAAAGGTGCCTTTCAGGGGCTCTCGCAGGGATCGGGATTCACTCCCTCCCCGACTGCAGGGTTTGATTCAGGGCTCTCCTGTTCCGTGCACAAACCAGCAACTCCCCTCACCCCTATATATTTATATTTATCATTTAAAATAACCCACCCTGGGGGGCCAGAGGAGCCGCAGGAGCTGCAGCCCAGCCACACGTCTGGTTCCCATTTCCAGGAACGCCGCGGGTTCCGTCTCCAGGACTGGAATCTCTTCCCCCCAGACTCCCCGTTAGGATAACAGAGGTTTCTTTGCAGAGTCCTCTGCAAACCTGCGGGCCGGGGCCGGGCCCCGGGAGCTCCCCCGCCGCTCCTCAATGGAGCTTTTGTGCGGAGCCGGGAGCGGGGCTGCGGGACACGGGCACCGAGCCAGCCCGGCACAGGGACGGCTCCCGCCGAGGGCCGGGGGTCCCCACCTCACCCAGGGGCTGCCGGCACCCGGATCCTGCCAGTGCTCCCAGAAATCCCGCTGTGAGCCAAGGAGGACCTTGGTCACCCCATGGAGACCACGCTCCGTCTGGGCAGGAGTCCCCTGAGGGTGCCAGGGAGGGAGGGGGCAGAAATGCTGCCATCAACCCATGGAGATCCCGCTCCATTGGGGCAGGAGTCCCATGGAACCAGGACAAGAGGGGGAAGAAAAGGGGTAGGAACTGAGCAGGGCATGGAAAGCTGGTGGTGCCAGGGAAGGAGGGGGAAAAATGGGGTAGAAATGCTGCCATCACCTCATGGAGATCCCACTCCCATGGAACCAGGGCAGGAGGGGAAGAAAAGGGGTAGGAACTGAGCAGGGCATGAGGAGCTGGTGGTGCCAGTGCAGGGGAGATGCCCTGGATTTCCCCATCCATGCCCTGGCGGGGGGGGGCACAGCGAGGACCCCGTGGGCAGGGGCAGAGCTGGGCCAGCCTGGAGGGCTCCCTCCATCCTTGCTGGGTCCCCATCACACACCAGCGGCTCCCACTGTCCCCCAGCATGTCCCGGGGTGCCTCTGCTCCTCCCTGACCTGAATCCCATCCCTCTTTCTTCCTCGTTTAGCGAGGGCCGCCGGGCCAGCCTGGCCCGAGAGGGCCCCCCGGTCCCCCAGGAGTGCCGGGAGCGGACGGGATTGACGTGAGTGACCGGGAACCTGAGGGAGGCAGGGAGGGAGGGAGGGAGGGAGGGGAGCCGCGGCACAAAGAGGGACATTGTGTGGGGCAGAGGCTCGGCTGCGGGATTCCTGCTCCGTGTGAATCCCGCTGCTCCCGGGCTGCGGCACACGGAGCATCCCTGGCTCCTCCTGTAGCCCCGGGCAGCAAAGGTGGCACTGGGAGCACAGCTCCCGCACTGAGGGCTCCATCTCCATCCACAGCCTCCCAAGCACCTTGGAATTTGGGGGCTGAAGTGGTTTTTGGGGAGGTTTGGGTGCTCCCCTGTCCGGGCAGCAGAGGATCCTCGGGGGTCAGAGGATGCTGCAGGGTCAGCCCAGAGGTGCCCAGTGAGGGGGCGAGCCAGGGGGGCTGGTGGGGAGCAGGACACCCCAGTGGGGTGCCCTCAGAGCAGTGGTGTGGCCAAGGGCTGTGCTGGGGGGGGCTGTGGCTCCAGATCCTCCCCCGGGCCGTGGAGTGGGGGCCTGAACAGAGAGATCTGTGAGCCAGCAGAACGTGCCCTTTCTCTGGGATGTGCCCCCAGGTGTTATTTTAGTGCTATTTATACCCAGAACAGCCACAACCTCCCCCCCCCAACCCCAGCACAGCCCTCCCAAAACCCCAACACAACCCACTCTTCCCAACCCCAGCCCCATCCCGATTCCCCACGTGGCTGTGGAATCCAGCATCCCGGCTGGATTGAGCCCCCCTCTGCCTTGAGGAGGGGGACAAGGACGCTGAGCCCCCCACCCTGGGGGGTGACAGGTCCCTTTTACAACCTCCTTCCTCTCCCCAGGGTGACAAAGGCCCTGCTGGAGCCCCGGGCTCCCCGGTGAGTACCCGCCCTCCCCTCAGCTCCCCACTGCTCCCCCTCCTCCCAGAGGAGCTCCTTCCATCCTGCCCCCTCCTCTTCTCTCTTCAAGGGTGTCAAGGGGGACCCCGGAGCCCCCGGCCCCGATGGACCCCCAGGGAAGCCGGGCATCGACGTGAGTACCCACCCCCTGCCCCTGGGGCACAGCAAACTCCTCTGACCATGTCTATCCCACATCAGAACGGGCCAAAATCCCTTCCTGTGGGAGCTGGAAGCAGCTTTGGAATCACAGCAGAGCCCGGGCAGGGCTGGTGCCACCCCCTCCCACTGCCTGGGCACCCAAAAGCAGGGCAGAGCTGTGCCAGGGGAGCACAGACACCTTGGGCATGGAAAGGCTTGTCCTTGTCCTTTGCTGCTGCTGCTGCTGCCCTGTGCCCTCACTGAGCTCTTGTTTCCTCCAGAACAAACCTGGAGCAATCCCTGTCCCCCCTGGCACCCATGAGGTGGCATTGGTGATTCCACCACCGTCCCCTCCCTGGCACAAGCAGAGTCACCACAGAAGTGGTGGCAGAAAGGGGACAGAGCTGTCACTGTCACCTCCCCCTGCCTGGCTGCTGTGAGGGGTCAGTCCCATCCCCAGGTCCCCTGGGCTGGGTCTCAGGGGTGTGTGATGGGTGCCCAGGGAGGGTTGGGTGGGCTCCTGCCCCATGCCCAGCTCAGTGCCAGGGACTTACCTGCTGATCAGAGGGAAACCCGAACTGCAGGGTCCTGTTCTGTGCCTCTGATGGCACTTCAGGAATCTTTGGGGGTTTAGTTATTCTTCAATAATAAATGAATAGAGATATAACTGTCACTGTGAGCATGGATTATTCATCCAGATGGATCTGCCTGCAAAGGGATTCAGCTCCTTCCACAGGAACAACCCCAAGGGCTGGGAATAACCTCCGGGATCTCTCCTCCTGCAGGGCCTGACGGGAGCAAAAGGGGAGCCAGGACCCATCGGAGCACCAGGAATTAAAGTGAGTGAGGGGCTGCTCTGGGGCAGCTTCTCCAGGCTCCCACTTTCCTTGGCTCCCACCTTCCCCTCTCAGAGCCAGCAGGGACCAGGAGCTGGTGATGGGGGTTCTGGCAGTGAGGGGGCACCAGGGCTGGGGGAGGGAGGGGGGATTTTGGCAGCTGACAGAGCAGACCAACTTATTTCTGCTCCTGACTCTCCTCCTCTGCCTTGGCAGGGCCAGCCTGGACTTCCAGGGCCTCCAGGGCTCCCTGTGAGTATCTGCTGCTCCCAGGGGTGCAGGGGGTGCACCCACTGCTGTCACACGTGGGGTGGGGGCAGAGCAGGACCATCTCCAGCCCCCCCAGCTGCCCCTTGGGTGGTGCTGTGGGCATCACCCTGCTGGGGACACGGATCCTGCAGGGTCTGGGGGGTTGGGGAATTCAGACCAACCCTCTTTCTCCCTCTTGCAGGGCCCTTCTCTGCCAGGACCACCCGTGAGTGCCACACTGGGGGGTTGAGGGGGTGGCCAGGGATCCTGCCTGGAGCTGTGCTGGGAGAGCTCAAATCCCAGCACGCCCAAAGGGGGGCCTGGGGGTGTGACCTCTCCCACTCAGGGAATGTCTGTTCTCTCCTTAAGGGGCTTCCAGGCCAAGTGGGGCTTCCTGGAGAGATTGGGGTGCTGGGACCCAAGGTGAGGAGTCAGGAGGGGGACATGGGAAAACCTCCCCTCCCTACCCCAGGATCTGCCCCTCTGTCCCAGGGCTCCTGGGACAAACAGGGATGATCCTGGAATGTGGGAGGGTGGCACAGTGGGGCTGGAGGGGTGGCAGTTCTGTGCCACCAGCCGGGTCCCCTGGTGCCATCCACCCCCTGGGGATGTCCCCGTTCCTGCTGGGACATCCTGGCTCTCCAGGTCTCCATCACCCCCCTCCACCTCAGCTCTGGCTGCACCTGCCACCCTCCCCACCCTGACATCTCCTTTCCTGGGTCTGTTCTTTCCCAGGGTGACCCTGGACCCGACGGCCCCCGGGGCCCCCCAGGCCCTCCAGGGAAACCCGTGAGTAAAAACCCCAGCCACCAACACCTTCTGCACCAGGGAGGAGCTTCCCCCAGGCTCAGCCCCGGCTCTGGGGCCAGGACCTGGGCTCTGCCACACCCCTCCCTCCTGGGAAACCATCCTGATACCAACCCAGGGATGCTGATGGTCTCCTTCCCCCCAGGGCCTCCCGGGACACATCCAAGGATTGGAGGAAGGCAGCGCTTTTCTGGTGAGAGCTGCCACGGCCTTCCAGGGCTCTGCAGGGCCCTGGAACACAGGCTCCCCCCTGGAATTCTGTCCCCAGGGTCCCCAGCACAGCTGGGGTGTGAGCAGGGGGTCCCCTGTGTCACCCACTCCCCCGTGGCACAGGAGCCCGTCCTTCCCAGTGCGGCTTCTCAGCAGCTTCCAGGTCCTTTCCCAACTCATCCTGTGCTTCTTCTTCCCCCCCAGTGCCCGACCAGCTGCCCCCCAGGTCCCAAGGGCCCCCAGGGACTGCAGGGACTGAAGGTAAGGGAGCCCTGGAGCTGCTGGGGCGGAACAGGGACCGTCACCTCCAGCAGGTTGTGGCAGAGTGGAGGATCCATCCTCGCTCTGGAGCCACAGGGAGCTCAGAAGCTGCCCTGCTCCCCTGGGAGCACCAGGACACACGTGCACAGAGAGCCCTAAAGCCAAAGGTGCCATGGGAGAGGCCTGGAGTGGCTTCCCAGCTCCCACCAACCCTTTCCTGGGGCTGGGACCCTGTGCCAAAACCCCACTCCCAGCCCTGTCACTGCCTCAGGAAGCTCCAGTGGGCACCCCGGGGTGGGCTGAGGTGGGCAGGGGGGCTCTCAGGGTGCTGCCACAGCCCTGCTGCTCTGCCAGGGGGGCTCTCAGGGTACTGCCACAGCCCTGCTGCTCTGCCAGGGGGGCTCAGGATCTTCTTCTTCCCCCGCAGGGACACAGAGGCCGCCCCGGTGCCCTCGGGGAGCCCGGCAGGCAGGGGGGGCAGGTGAGTGCCCAGCAGCATCCAGGTGTCCCTGGGGCCTCTGGAGGAGCAGGGGATGCACCCAGGGGGAGAAAGGGGGGAAAAGAAAAGGAAGAAAAGAGGTGGGAGAGGAAGGTGGGAAATCCAGGGCTGGGAGAGGGAGGGGGACAGGGTGGTCTTCCCACCGTGGCTTCCCGGGCGGGGACACCTTCCCCATCCCCTGCTGGGTCCCAAGGGAGGGGGTCTTGTGTCCCCAGGGCAGTTTGTACCCCCACTGCCCCCCAACACTCAGTTCTCTCCCTGCCCAGGGCCCCAAGGGCGACATCGGTGCCTCTGGAGAACAAGGAGTCCCCGGTCCTCCGGTAACAAACCCACCCCTCTCTGCTCCTCCACCCTCCAGGGCCCCAAAAACTGGGGGTGCCCAGCTTGTGCTCGGCCCCAGACACCGGGGAGGTGACACCAGAGTGTCCCATGCAGCCCTGGGGCTGCAGCAAAGCCTTCATCCCACCCATCTCCCAGGGTGGGATCCTCATCCTCATCTCCCTCCTCCCAGGGTGTCACCACCTCTCCCAACAGAGACCTGGGTTGTTACCATGGATAATTCCTGGGCCTTGGCTGTCACCATGGATAACTCCTGGGCCAGGACAAAGCTCTGCTGTGCCCCGAGCCCCCCTCATCCCACCTGAAGGGGGGGTGCAGCCCCCAGCTCACGGCAGGGCCGGGGGGGATTAAAGCTGCAGGAGCTCCCTGAGCACTTTGAAGATGAAAAGCAATTAATGGGTCCGGGGAAGGGCAGAACTGCTTTGAAGCAGAGCTTTGGCAGGGCGAGAGACTCCACTTTGGGCCTGTTGGTGTGATGGAATCGACAGCTGGAAAAGCACCTGCTGGGGGGCTGCAGGATTAGGGGGGGCTGCAGGATTAGGAGGGGCTGGAACCCCTCATGTTTGGCCAAACGGGCTGATTCCCAACCCCGGGGTTTTGCTGGAATTGCAGCCTCCCCGTGGGCTACTCCGGGGGGAATTTCCAGCTAAATTGGCTGTGTTTTCCTTCCCCACAGGGACCTCAGGGCCCCAGGGGGTACCCTGGGATGGCAGGACCCAAGGGCGAGATGGTGAGTGCTGCTGGGGGGCTCGGGGGGGACCAGATTCCATGGCAGCGATTCCCAGCCTGGAGATGCTTCCTGGAACCATCACCAACATGTTGGGCTGCCTTGGGAAGCTGGATCTGCCTCCTGCTGGGTGGGGCTGGGGGTTGGGGTGCCAGGCATTGACCCCCCTGTGCTCTCTTTGCAGGGCCCTGCTGGGTACAAGGGCATGGTGGGGTCCGTGGGAGCGGCCGGGCGGCCGGTGAGTGACCCCCCCATCCACCCCCAGGGGCTCAGTTCCCTCCAGTTCCCCCCAGTTCCCCCCAGTTCCCTGCTCAGCCCTTGCCTTTCTCCCCTGCAGGGCAGGGAAGGCCCCAAGGGACCGCCCGGGGACCCCGGTGAGAAGGGAGAGCTGGTAGGTGACCCCCTAGTGCCAGTGCCCCCCGTGCCCTCGGTGGGCATCTCCTCCCTCTGCCAGCCCCACCCTCTGCCCCAGGGGCACACTGACCTTACACTTGCCCTCTCCTGCTCCAGGGTGGCCGTGGCATCAGGGGACCTCAGGGAGACATCGGCCCCAAGGGGGAGAATGTGAGTACAGCTGGTGGCACCTGTGCCAGCTGTGGCACCTTGCCTCTGCCAGCAAGGAGAAGATCCCTCTGTGTCCCACACTCTGTCCTCGCACCCTGGCAGGGCTGAAGCTTTCCCTTCCCTTCCCTTCCCTTCCCTTCCCTTCCCTTCCCTTCCCTCCCCTTCCCCTTCCCACCTCTTTTTGTCCCCCCACGAGCCCTTCAGTCCCCATCAGAGGTGACCAAGTGACTCTCCCCCCTGTCTCAGGGCCTGCCTGGCATCGATGGCAAGGATGGCACCCCGGGTATCCCGGGGGTGAAGGTGAGCAGGGGCAGGTGCTGCCTGTGCTGGCACAGGGCACGGACACACCCCATTCCTCGTGCTGGGAATAACAGGGATGGCAGGTGGGATAAGCTCCCAGCCCCTGGCTGCACTGCTGGCTGGTGGAGTGTACAAGGGCACGGTGGGGCAGTGCCACCCTTTGCCCCACCCGTGACACCCTCTGTGTCCCTGCCAGGGCAGTGTGGGACAGGCCGGACGCCCGGGAGCGCCGGGACACCGGGGACAAGCTGTGAGTGTTGTGGGGACCCCCCAAAACTGGGCTGGCACCCCCTCACCCGTGGGGTGACACCCCTATCCCAGGTGGTGCCAGGGCCAGTGCCCAGCAGGGACACTGTGCCCAGGGTTTGACCCCAGCTTCTTTTCCCCAGGGCTTGCCAGGCCAGCCGGGAAGCAAAGGTGGCCCGGGAGACAAGGTGGGTGACCCCCCCTGAGCACCCACCCCGTGACCCCACAGCTGCTGTGCCCTCAGCCTTGTCCCCACGCTGTCCCTGAGCCACCCCTGCTGTCCCTGAGCCTCCTCTGTCTCCCTGCAGGGTGAAGTGGGTGCCCGTGGCCAGCCTGGTGTCACCGGTGCCCCAGGGCAGCTTGTAAGTACAGAATGTCACCATGGCCCCCCGGGGACAAAATCTCTCTTTTTCTCTCTCTTTTTCTCTCTCTTTTTCTCTCTCTTTTTCTCTCTCTTTTTATCTCTTTTTCTCTCTTTTTCTCTCTCTTTTTCTCCCTCTTTTTCCTCTCCCCCTCTCTCTTTTCCCTGTTTCCAGCCAAACCAAAAGCATTACTGGGCAGTTTTATCCCCCCTCTGCCCCTCACTGCTCCAGCCCTCTGTCCATCACCTCCTCGGCCACCAGTGGCTGCAGGGGGCACGGGCACATCCCTGGGGAAGGATGTAATGCCCAGGGATGCCCGAGAAGTGCCCTGGGATGCCCTAGAAGTGCCCTGGGATGCCCCAGAAGTGCCCTGGGTGTTTTTGTGTCTCTGTTTCAGGGGGAGCCCGGCCCTCGGGGCGAGCAGGGCCCAGAGGGTGTCCCTGGGCTGAAGGTGAGTGGGGGGCACTGTTGGGGGGGGCTCTGGCCATGCCAGGAGCTGCCCCTGACTGTGCCCTTCTCTCTGGTGTCCACAGGGCGACCGGGGCGAGCGTGGCCTCGTGGGGCCCCCGGGGGAGCAGGGCAGAGTGGTGAGTTGTGCCCAGGGCAGGGTTGGGCACTGGGGGGGCTCAGTTTGGGGGTCTGGGGGTGCTGAGCCCTGAGGGGTCACTGGGGCACAGCTGGACCCTGCCTTTGATCCAGCCTGGGCTCAATCCCGTGCCCATCCCGCTGGGTCTGCCTGCCCCAGGGGGAGGGATTAACCCGGGGCAAACAGCTCAGGGATTAGTGGGACCACGCTGGGTTTGCAGCCCCGGCAGGGACAGGAATTTCCTCCCAGCCCAGCGAGGCAGGGGGAGGCTGCCTGGGCCCTCTGGGAGGCGGAAAAATGGCCCCAAAATGACCTTTGTCCCTTTTCCCGGGGACAGGATCCCATCCCTGGAGGATTGTCCCTCTTGGCACAGCCTGGGGGGAGGCTCCTCCATCATTCTCTGCCCTGTTCCCTCTCTGAACCTGGATTCAGGGGAGGTTGGGATGCTGGGGGGGCAACCAGAGCCACT